ACACACACACACACACACACACACACACACACACACACACATACACACACACACATACACTCACACACACACACGAAACATCCACCGAATGTCTGTTTAACTAGAATCAAGCGAAACAGTGATTCTAAAACTAACAAGTGCACTTCTGTGCAACTAAAATAAAGCATTAAAAAAAGACACCTTGTGGGGATGTACAATGTATAATGCTTGTCCAAACCTTAATCTGCTCGCAAAACAGAGGACGGCAAAATCGAGTTGTACCACATGGTCTTTCCCCTGAACAGACGTCACAACACCCTGTTCTTCGTCGGTCAGATGGCCTCGGACTCCGCAGTATTTCCCCTCTGGGAACTCCAAGCTCGACTGGCGACTAAAGGTAAATAACCTTTTAGTTTTAACTTTACTTTATCCGTCCTCTTGTACCACTAGGGCGTCGATGGGAGAAAGAGGTTTGGGTTGGGTTTTTTTTTGGTCTCAATCAAGTTGGATGGCTCGGCAGGGCAGAATGTTGTATGTTTTCAGTGTTTCCTTCACACTCTCGATCCAAGTCTTCCTTGGCTTCCTCTTGCCTTGTACCCTGATATAAACTTTAAGTCAGCTTTGTTTTAGAGTCTGTTAAAGGACTTTTAAAGGACCGGTTAGTGTTTCTCTTTCGCTGTGGTGTGAAGCTTTTCATAGGACCCACTAGCTTGACTGAATCTATATCTTGCACCCTCAGTGGTGTTATGGTCCTTGAAGGAGATGCCCAGATGTTTGAGAACGCATCTCATCTCCTGGACATTGAGGGTTTGTGGGGCATCTGAAAATTGTGTTTTGGGATGAAATTATGAAAACTGGGGTTATCACTTATTATAGTTCTTGAACATTTCCTGAACAATGTCCATAAACGTATGTACGCATAAATGTACCTTAAAGTGGTGTTTGAGGGGATTTTAAAGCAGAAGGTAGAGACTCTTTTGAGAAAATAATTGTTCGTTTTTGTCTCAAAAAGCAAAAGGCAGGTTTTAAACTGCTTTTATATGCTTCAGTTTTAGAAAGAAACCCCCATTTATTTCTGCTGTGTTAATCATAGCATCAAGTAGTTTCCATATTTTGGTTTGAAATATGTTTTGAACGTTTTTACAAGTGATAGAACTATTTTGGCCTTTTTTAAAAACCTTTATCGGCCTTTTTCTCAAAATGCTATTTTCTCACTTCATCCCATATCTCTACAGGATAGATCCTGTTTCTTATTTGATTTTAATGTAACTCTCACAGGAGGATGCTAACAACACCTAGATCTAGTGGGGG